ATGGTGGAAATATAGTTTGAATGTTTTTGTAAATATCCTGTCAGATTTGGGGGGTTTCAGCCCCTAGGACTTTTTTTTCCGCACAAACAGCACACTTTTGTGTCACTTTCTCCATTCCCTGGAGGGTGGCAGATTTATTGTTTTAGCACTAGGGAAAAGGGTGATTTCACTGACTGTTTTAGCGCTAGGGAAAAGGGTGATTTCACTGACTGGAGAGTAAACAAAACTGAAACCAAAAAGTTTTATCCAGTGAAGTATAAAAGTGGAAGAAACAAACAAATAGCTTTACAGTCAGCAGTTTTTAAATTTATCTGATGCCCAAGAACTACTTGTTACTAAATCTTCCTTCCACCTTTGAAAGGAACAGGCTTGTTTAAATCAGGAATCAAATAATTTGAGAATAAGCAAATTTAGTTTTAGATGAATGTTTTACTTTACCATTGTGTTTCTTGTGTGAGTGATTTAACAGAACTTAGTTGTCTACGTAAATTAGAACCAAAGTCCCTAACAGGAGTTGGAATAGGCTGTATATCTGTAAGCTCTTAAGAACCCCATTTGGAAAAGTTTTGCCCGAATTTTGAGGTCTCAGGAATTGGATAAGTCATGTTTGTTCTGGTAAGGCTAGAGATCTCTTGAGATAGTGAAGGGGTCCTTGAAGATAGAATCAGTGGGCTTATCCAGTTGTTGAGGAAATGAAGGCTGAGGACAGTCTGTATTTACACAACCTCATAACTGTTTCTTTGACCTAGGATTGCTTTTTCTAGGGAGATGATGTTATTTCCCAAACTCATAGAAGTTTCTCTTTTTAACAAGGAACAGTAAAAATTTTGCAATTTACTGGTATTTCATAAGAAACTTGTGCTGATTTGCAAAGGGATTCAGTGGAATGAAGAAAAACAATTTTGTAAATAGATTGGGATAGGATTGGGAAATAGAAAGATGTGAAGGATAGTGGAAGTAGCGAAGGTAAGTGAACTGGGGAATCAGAGTGTGGAAAGAGAGCTATAATTTTGAACTTTGCAAAGCTTTAATCAGAGTTCACAGGAAGAGAAAGAAGTTTGAGGAGGTTTTGGATCTCCTTGAGATTAAAGAACTATGGGAAGAATTCGATGCCTGTAAATTTGTGAATAATATTTGGAGAATTGCTGGTTAGAATTGGTTTTGATCTCTGGATTTTATTTCACTGATTGAGATATTCTTGTTGATGTGGAAAAATAGCTAAAATCATGAGCGCAATTTAAAGTTCACAGGATTCTTACAACATTTACCAAGTGAATTTATTATTTATAAAAATATATTTACAGCATGGAATTGAGTATAGGCATCTAAATTCTAACACTGTGTCCTTGAAGGACCAATAAAAGAGTATATTCTACCTTTTTTTGAGGACTATACATTTGTGCTTTCTATGTAAAAAAAGTTATATTTGCAATAACTATTTTAGGAGAGCTAAAAATATACCTTGAAATGGAGATTTGAAAATACAAAACTGCCACGTTAATCTTTGGCAGTTGACTTACTGAAAGTAGGGAGGTCTATAATTTGAAGTGGGAGCAGTGAATGGTCCTTGGAAAACTTGAGATTTTATATGGTGCCATTTATCCATATAGTAATCCAAACTTGATTTGATTTGTTTGTCCCAAACAAAATTGTAATATAGCCTCATTTAAAGTGAAATGTGTTTTTCTCTTAGGATAATTGTGATGTTTGACCCTCTATAAGTAAAACAGACCATGATGGAAAATATACTTAAATTTGTCATTGAGATAAAGTATTTATATACTAGAAGAATAAGAATTATAAGTGTAATCTTTCTATCATTGTTAAACCATATTGAGATTACTGGAGATGTCTGATATACTATATATCTTAAACTCAAAATTTTTTAAATTTATTTTGACAAATTAATTGGGAAAAATTATTATTCACCGTATGGTTAATATGTATCCTCAATGTTAGTACTTTCAGCTGCCTTTATAACTGTATGTGTAACTGGGTCATAAATACTCTATATTTGTAACTGAAATAGAATGTCAAAATTGATAGGTGGATTAAATGAGTTTTTTGAGTGTAAAATAATCCAGAATTGCATTCAACTAAATTAATGACTGGCAAAAACTGTTGTGTGTATGTTTAAAATCCATGGTATAGTTTTATATTAATAGTATGCTTATAATTTCTTGCATTGTGATTTTTTGGAAACCATGGTAGAAGAAATGATGTTAATTTGAAAAATGATACCTATCAAGGGATATAACTGTGTCGTTAGAAGATTAACTCCTTTTTTAATCTGAACATGGTGAAATTGAATTTTTGGTTTAAAATGTCTCAAGCATTTGCTTAGGTGTACTTTGCTTTAAAATTAGTAATAATGATAATAGTAATAATAGATTTTTGGGAACAGTTCCAAAGAACCTGTCAGGTCTCATCCATAAAGTTATTTGGGAACTTACCCCAGGTTCTTTGGATCTTCAGCCTTGGCATGGTCATAAAATCTTAGCAACTTTTGAAAGAAGAAGCTATAAGTACATAAGCAAAAAAAAAATCCTTATAAAATTTAAAATAATGACTTGGTTTACTGAGAAACTGAGGTCCTCTCCTTTCCAACACAAACATTCACAGCCAAAGTGGAGGATGACTTGAGTTTGCTTATAATACAGAAGCAATTTGTATGATGAATTTTCTGACTGTTGATTATGAAAATTGTGAAATTGCTCCCAGAATAGTATGTATTGAAGTTACGCCTTTACAACTTGAATTTAGGATTGTAGACCCTAGTTTTAAGGATGTTTCCTTTTTATCCTAGAGATTATTATCCAAGCTTACTATGACCATTATTTTTTGGGTTATGAGTGAATTGTCATATATTCACTTTATATGTAAAACTTTAGAAGGTGATTATTTTCTTAATTTTTAATGATTGATTTTTAGATCAAGATGTCTTTAAACTAGAAAAGAAAATGATAGATGAATGCATTTGGAAAGGAATTGTATGTATTTAATAAGTACTGAAGGTGAATGTTTTTATTTAGTGTTAAGAAGCTATTATTGCAACTTGAAGAACAACTATACCTTGGTCTAAATCAGAGGTGGGGAACCTGCAGCCTCTAGGTAGACATGTGGCCCTCTAAGTCCTCAAGTGTGGCCCCTTGCCTGAATCCAAACCTCACAGAACAAACCCCATTAATAAAAGAATTTGTTCTGTAAAACTCGGATTCAGTGAAAAGAATGTACCAAAGGACCTAAAAGGCCTTGAGGCCACCAGTTCCCCTACCCCTGAAACTGTTAGCCGTTGAACTTGCAAATGTGAGTAAAGGGTGTTTTATGCTGGTATGAAAACTGAATATTGCCTAGCTGGTGGCATGCAGTTAAATGAGAAGCCTCTTGAATCAGTTCGTCAGTACATAGGTCTTAGCCCCAGAATTAAACATAAGGAGAATTGCATTCTCAGTCACATTTAGGATATTTCCCAGAGCTTTGAGGATCATATGCACTTTGCTTCTGCCAAAGTGTATCTTTTTAATGTTAAAGTTTTTCCAGTGATGGTTTGTAATTACAAGTCATGAGATACCACAATCTCATAAAAATCAAAATGATTTTTAATTTTTTTTGAACGAAAAGGTATGTGGTATGCGTAGGCTTTAGCATGTTACCAGCACTGACTTGTTAAGAAATTAACAAGACTTCTGTGTAATTAGAGAAAGATCTAAGCTTATTATGCTTGGAGAATGCTTAGAGAGAATGAGAAACAATGGATAGTTAGCCCAAGTGGTGAATGGACATTCTTGAGATAATGAAGGGATAGATGAAGGAGGGAAGAAAGCAGGGAAGGAGAAGAGGGAAGGGAAGAGAGGGGACAGGATAGGAGGAGGTTGGAAGGTTTTCAAGTGCCAGGCATCATGCTTTGAGGAGGATACAAAAAAGACAGTCTCTGCCTTGAAGATGCTAACATTGTAATGAAGTAAGGTAGCATATTAAAGGAAGTGGAAAACCAGTGGAGAGGAAAGTGAGGATGATATGAGGAGGTATGAAAAGGGAGCATGGTTTTGATGTGCAGAAAGTCTGAGAAAAGACCGGAAGAAAAGTAAAGGTGGGCCAGCTGGGGTCTTTCCAAAAAATGGAAGCATCAAGAGGAACTCCCCAATGAGAGAAGGAGGCAAGCCTTGTTGAGGAATATCCCAGGGTGAGCAGGCCGCAGAAGTAGTTGGCTGTTCAGAGCGAGAAGCCCAAGTGCTGAGGGAAGGTCCAGGAGAAGCAGCAGTAGAGAAGCTACAGTTTCACAGTCCAGAAAGTGAGGTGAAGGACCAGGAGGAGAATGAAGGGAACAGTGGCCGCTTCTGTGTTGCCCCCATCCTCTGTTCAGGATTTATGGAAAGGCTGGGTACGAATAGCAGAGGATGGGAAATGTGAAAAGTGTCAGTGGCATGAGTTCTCACACCAGCAAAATAATGGATCCATTAAAGTATGTTTCATGCTTTGTTACGCCTGTCTCCACCCCATGTGCATTCAAACACTTTTCCTCCCTGTACAGACTTTTTATAGCCTTTAAGTCCCAACCAAGTCTTAGCTCTGTCACAAAGCTTTTTCAAAACAAATTTTCCTAGCTCACATCTTGTTCCTCTCTGAATTCACAACACTCTTTTTAGTACTTTTTCAGCAGTGTAGATTTATAATATCTCATATTATTGTCTTTTATTTTTCTTAAGTGTCATGTAATTTTAATGAGTATAATTTATTTTCACTGTCAACCCTCTAAGACTGAAAAGATTTTTGGTGATTCCAAACTGGGATTTATATTAAGGGAATTCAGAATTTGGCTTCTTGTGAAAAGATAATTATAGAGAAACTGCACATCAGTTTGATAGGAAATAGTTTTAATGTAAATTATTTTCAATATATGCAATTTATTAAAACATTAAAATGTTGAGTAATGTGGAATTTATAATTCTTATTTGTTGATGAATATCTTCAATTTTTTCCAAAAAAAAAAAACCCAACAGATCAGTTTATTAACAGAGGATCAGGCAGCGTACGAAACAGTAAGAATCAAGGTGTCTGTCACATTGCATTTGGATCCAAGGTGCTTGGACCACCTCCACCTTCTGGTAGAAGACATAGCATAAGAACATCTGGAGAGGTACGAGACCAGTTCAGAAAACCGTGTAAACATGGGTGACGTGGTATGGTGAGAGTGTGTTCTGGTATTGAAAAGCCAACTATAATATGCCCATAATATACCCCAGATAAGTACTCAGGAAACTTTCTGCATTATGAGAAAAGTACAAGTGAATAGAAAAGGTATCCTTTCCCCCCCACATTTACTGTTCATTTACTGACCCCCAAGTTTGTTACAGTGGGTCAGAGTTCACTTACGGATACCCTTATCCTTAAGGACCTTCCCTTTCTAATCTCGCATTGCATTTTTTTTTTTGCAACTCTATAATGCTCTTATAATATATGATTGCATAATGTCATTATCTCTCTTTATACTCTAGGTGGCAATCTCAGTGAGGTCAAGAATCATGTTTTTTCCTAAGCATTTTATTTCCCTCACCACCTGCGAAAGAGCTCTGCCCATAGTAGGGGCTTAATGTATAAATCAATTAATCCAATACATGTCAATAGCTCAAAATAAACTTTTAGACAGTGTTTTAATGCATATACATAAAATAAGCAGAAATTCAAAGATAAGACTCTACCTGCAGACATGCTCTTCCTTTTACTTTCAAACTGGGTTAGACATCACCATCTAGTAAACAAGCAAATTTTTGCACTTTATGATTTATATTTCACATGTGAAAAATAATATACCTGGGTAACTTTTGAAGTTTCTACCTTTTAAAGGGAAATAAGTACATTTTCATTTTCATTTGTCTGGTTTTTGTTTCCTTCCTGCTTATATACAATTATTTAACTTTGCCTAACTTTGTGGCCTTCCTTAACTCTGCCAGAAATGAAATAAATAAAAAAACATTGTCCCCATCTTCTTTCTGCTCCTGAGTATAATTTATGCTTTCATAAATGCAGTATATGTAGCAGGCAAATAATATAGACTCTGAAAATTCCCATAAACCCTTCTTAAACATACCTACAAATTCACTGCATCCTTGGGAAGTTCAGATCTTACCAAATGAGCTTTGAGTAAGGTGGCTTTCTCTGTACTTACTTGAAGCAATCTGGAGATGTGGGAAGAGCACTGATTATTTCATGAAAGGACCTGTATTCAGAACTTTGCCCAACTACATACTGTGTGACCGTGGGAAAGTCATTCAGCTCTCAGGGACTTAGTTTTCTCATTTGTAATATGTGGAAAGTAGGATTAGATAATTTAAGGTCTTTTCTATCTCTACATGTATAATCTTGTTATCCTAAGTAATTTGTATGTTTTTTTCTCCATTAAAAGTCTTTTTAAAAGCTAATATACTTTAAAATACAGTCTGTGAAGGTAAAATAGGCTGAATCAGTTATTTCATCTGACAGTCTCTGATCTTTCCTTATAGACTGTAAAATCCAGAAGTAGCAGAACTTGCCAGCAGCCTACTGTAGAAAAATGTACTAACCGGTCAGAAATGTCAAGCCTACAGTTCTATGAGTCAGAAGAGCAAGGAGACAAAGAAAATATTCATCTAGAAAAGCAGATTACACCTATTAATGGTAAGGAAGGCTTTATAAAGATTAACTCATCACTTCATTAGTAGACATGTTCTTTTGTTAGGAAATAGATCAATGGAAGTATTATTTTAACATTGCAAAGAGTAGGGAACTATTATGGAAATAATGTTTAGAATTTTTAATGATGCCCATAGTCATTACTGTGAGTGGCTCACAGTTTTCATGTTTGGGTTTCAGTTTGCCCCTTTAAAGAATCTTGTCTTTGGAATAAGAATTCTAAATGAGAACAAATTGCTGCTTTTTAAAAAATCACCAAGAATTTATGATTGATGCTTTTAAAAGAAAGTACAACAATTTATCAATTCACACTACTGGATTAGGAAGCATACTCAAAGTTTAAGGAAGTTTTATGTCTTCTTTTAAGATTCTTAAAAAGGAGGTTTTTAAGTCTACTCTTTTTGGAGGGGCAACAGACAAACTTTTGAAATTTCATCCAAAAAACATTATCTTAGATGAAACCAGTATTTTACTTGTGTTTTATTTTGCAGCATTTGGATCTAATTAGTAACCATTATCATTACACGTAATATCTTATGTAAAACAAATATAATATATAATAGGAAAGTGATAAGGAAAACAAATATAAAAAATTTAATTGCTTTAAAATTCTGCCCCCTAATCATATGTATGAAAGTTCTTCCAAATTTTTTCTAATCCTGATTTTAACTTCCAGCATCAAATAACCAAATCAGTATTTTATTTTGAATATTTTATTATGGAACATAAAATTAGAATTCAGAAGGAATCTGGAAGACCTCTTTCTGCATGTTAATTGTTGGAGGCAGCAAGGTGATGCAGTGCATACCATTAGGCAAGTCAGGAAGACTTAAATTCAGATCCAGCCTCAGATACTTAATAGCTGTGTGACCCTAAACCAATCACTTCACTTCCGTTTGCCTCAATTTTCTTATCTATGAAATGGAGGTAACAGTAGCACCTACCTCCCAGGGTTATTGTGAGATTCAAATGAGATAATATCTGTAAAGTACTTTACAAACTGTAAAGCTCTATTTTATTGTTATTATTGTTGTTATGACTTGTTATTTTTATCATATCATTCCAGAGTATAATATAGGTGAATGAAAATGGCATCCCTTAACCTTACGGTTTTTTTCATTACAGTAAAATATTAGGAATATTGTAGTTCACAGGTGAAGCCTATCTTTAGACTAGAATCTCAGTTGAAAAATCCTTTTCATCTGATATTTTCATGTGCTTTTGGAATCTATAGCATTACCATTATATATAAGGAAGTCATTTCAGAATCATCTTTTTTTGTGTAGTCAGAGCATTAGCTGGTTAGGACAGAGGTAAAATTCAGCATCAGTTTAGAAGAAAGGTTAAAGATGAGAAGATAGCTAGTGAAAAATTGCAGCAATTTTAATCTGACCTATTCATGTGATCCTTGAATATAAAAAATTTAGAAAGGGAAAGATGAAGATTTTCCCCTCAATTACCACCTTTTACTTGTGCAGTTTTGCTAATGCCAAACTATTGCTGAGGAGGGAAAGCTAAAAGAGCTCAGGAATCCCCTTGCCAGATAACCCTTGATCTCTTTGCCACGCCTGGAGATACGGCAGCCAGAATCAGCAGTCATTTAGAATACACACTCATTTGTCAAACCCTGCAGAGGAGGGTGGGCAGTGTTGCCTCATGCAGGGGTGATAAGCAGTGGCTAGGAACATGTCTAAAGATGCACTAGCATGCAACAAAAGGAGCCCCCCTCAGCCCAAGAGCATTCATCTGTGAATACGGGCGGCAGAAGGACAAGCAGACATTCAAGAGAAAGAACTCGTCATTGATTCTCCAGCAATCTGTTACCGCTGTCAAGGATGGAGAAGCCACCATTTTTGTACTCATAATATATCAATCCAAAGAAGTAAAAATGTCACTGAAGAAGACAGTATTGAGAAGTGGGTATGGGTTAAACTAAGTACATGCTGAGGAAATCCACCATGCTGGAGAAGACAGTCTTTAAAGTATTGGTTTTACAAGATGCCATAAGAATGGGAAAAAATTCAAATGATACTGACATTTAAAAAAAATTAGAGATGACATGTGCCATGTGTCTACTTTCTCATTTTTGTAAAAATCGTTATGATAATGATCTGTGTGTGTGCTTAATGAAAACATGAAAGGGAACCTTTTGCAAATACTGCTCTATAGAAAATCATATCTTTAGAGTTAGTTAGACAGTTGACAAAAAGTTCAGAAGAGTACAGTATCCTCTTATACTCTTGTATTTATTGTTTGTTGATTATCAAAAAAAAAAGAAAAAGAAAAAAGAAGAGGAAAAGGAGGAGTCAGTAAAGCAAAATACAAATGATGGGTCTTTCTTGCATATTTTAGGGATATACAAAATTTCTTGGCAAATATAACCACTTATGTGACTGTTCAGTGACAAAATGATTATTTATGTCAAGCAAGGCATGAAATAGAACAATGTGTGCTTGTTAACCACTGTCATAGTGGATGATACTGTTTATGAATAAAATTATTTTGGGTATCTCAGACCCCAGAATGTTATGGGACCTTTCCAGTGAGATCCACAATTATTTTAAAGCATATGATCTAGAATCAGTCTAAAAGTAGTTAAGTGCTTACTGAGTGCTGGATACTGTGCAGTTCACACAGGAAAAACTAAATGGATAAAAAATTTCTCTTGTCAGTCATACAAAACCATTTTTAGCATCACTTCATGGTAGCAAAGAATCAGAAACAGAAGGTGTGAACTCTGGTATATGAATGTAATGGACTAGTAATACATCATAAGAAATTTTGGGAATTACAAATTCAGAGAAACTAGGGAAAATTTTATATGAATTGATGCAGAGTGAAATGAACTGAATCAAGGGGACAGTTTCCATGATGACCAATATTGTATTTTCTTTTTTTATTTCTAATAGATTTAATATTTTATTTTCCCCAATTACATATAAAAGCAATATTTAACATTCATTTAAAAAATTTTTTTTTAGTTCCAGATTCTCTCTTTCCCTTCCTTTCCTCCCCCCTCCACCATTGAGAAGGCAATTTGATATAGGTTATGCATATGCAGTCATGCAAAACATATTTCTATGTTAGGATGACCAGCGTTGTAAAGAAAAATAACAGACTACAGAACTCAGATCAATGCAGTGACTGGTCAGGACTTCATAAGACCAATGATGTGGCATCTGCTTTCAGACTTGGCCAATTTGTTGACTATACTTAGTTGTAACAAAGGGAGAATTTCGGTTAGGAAAGGGCATGTTAGTAAGTATTGATGGAGATGCGTAAGTAGAGAGATAAAAGCTTTAATATGAGATAAAAATGAACAGAAGAAAGCGGAAGGAAGTTTGGAAGGATACACTAAGGCAACTTTGTTACTACTATGTTAAATTTAGTATACACTCAGAAAACTACATAACAGAAGTTTATAGTTTCATGTACAATCCCCTTTTCAATTTTTTGTATACTAAAACATTCAGGTTTCTTGATGATTACTAAGTTCACTATTTAAAAAAAAGTTTTTTAAAGAAAAAAATGGAAATGCCTATTGTCTAAATTGATGTGTAGTAAGATGGTAGTTCATCGAGTTGATACATCAGTAGATGTATTTGAAATAGTGCCTCAAACAAGACGCTGAGTTGAACTCGTATTTGAATAAGAGAAAGAGAGATCATGGATTGCATTTGGGATTGTGCAGTGCTTTTAACAATCCTAATTTGAAAACTATCTATAATCATATGAAAAAATGCTTTAAATGACTATTGATTAGAGAAATGTGAATTTAAATTACTCTGAAGTACCACCTCACATCTGTCAGATTGGCTAATGTGACCGAAAAGGAAATCCAACCATTTTGGAGAGTAGTTTGGAACTATTCCCAAAGGGCAATCAAACTATGTGTACCCTTTGATCCAGCAATAGCACTACTAGCTAGGTCTGTATCCCAAAGAAATCATAAAAAGGGGGAAAGGACCCACATGTACAAAAATATTTATAGCAGCCCTTCCCATGGTTGCAAATTATTAGAAACTGAGGAGATGCCCATCAGTTGGGGAATTGCTGTACATGCTGTGATATATGAATATAATGGAATGAGCTATAAGAAATGATGAACAGGCAGACTTCAGAAAAACTGGAAAGACTTATATGAATTGATGCTGAGTGAAGTGAGCAGAACCAAGAGAACGTTATACACAGTAACACTGTGCAACGATCAACTACGATTGACTTAGCTCTTCTCAGCGGTACAGTGATCCAAGTCACAAGAGTGGGGAACCTGCGGCCTCGAGGCTGCATGGGGCCCTTTGGGTCCCCGAGTGTGGCCCTTTGACTGAATCCAAACTTCACAGAACACATCTCCTTAATAAACGGATTTATTCTATGAAACTTGGACTCAGTCAAAAGGCTGCACCCAAAGACCCAGAGAGCCACATGTGGCCTCGAGGCCTCAGATTCCCCACCCCTGATCCAAGACAATTCCAAAAGACTCTCTTGATGGAAAATGCTGTCCACATCCAGCAAGAGAACTGTGGAGTCTGAATGCAGATCAAAGCATGCTATTTTAACTTTTTTTGTTTTGTGTTTTTTGTAGCTTTTCCTTTTTGTTGTTTCTTCTTACACAACATGACTAATAGGGAAATAATGTTTCCATGATTGTACATGTATAACCTATGTCAGATTGCTTGCCATCTTGGGGAGGGAAGGGAAGAAGGGAGGGAGGGAGAAAAATTTGGAACTCTGTATCTTGAGTGGATCTTCTATAGAAGAACATCAATGAATTACACAGGGATCAAAGGCATGGATGGATTTCACCTATGGAAGAGAGGTACCACTGGTAAGATGATAGATCCATTGAAATGGGTTGATTTACATTTTCTGTCATCAGGTATTATGTGTAGAAATACACGTGGTAATAATTCTCCTATGGAAACGTGATTTCAGAATTTAGGAATGAAAGCCCGTTTCCCATTTAGAGCTAAGTTATGCTGCTTCTTACACATCTTATAGGAGAATATTTCAAAAGTAATACTGTTAGGTACCTTTTTTTCCTTTTGCAGCATATAATTGTGTTATTTACTAGATTATCTCAAATTCTCATTGCATCCCGTGTTTTTGCCTTGTGTTCATTGATATGGTAACGGTATAGCTGATCTCCGTGTTATGCATCCACATCCCCCTCAAGAACCATTGGCAGATAAGAATAATAGTAGACGAAGATTACGGCTAAAAAGCACCAGCAAAGACAGAACAGAGACACCCAGTGGTATGGCACAAGTTTGACACTATCTTATATCTGTGGTTAATTCAGAGCAGTAGACTCTCTCTCTCTCTGTGTTGTAAAATCCAAAAGATTATGAATCAATTCACTTATAATATAAATGTCTATGCTACAGGGATTATGGAAATCAGACTTCCTATACAAAAATCGCTACTAGGGATAACAGAGATTTGTAGAATTAGAGGGTGCCTTGAGTGGTACAGAAACAAAGAGCTTTCCATTTTCCAGAGGAGAAACTGAGGAAACTTTACTCATTACTTTTCAATGTTACATATATGAAGATGTTGCCAGCAGGCTTTACTGAAACCTTTATGGATCCCTATAATTTTTCTTTTTTAATTTTTGTCTCCTTTTCCAAAGCAGAGCTAATGCTTTTTCTCTGGTCGTTGGCATACATTGTCATTTAGGCAGTTAGGTAGCTCAGTGGATAGAGTGTCCAATTTGGAGTCAGGAAGACCTGAATTCAAATCCTGCCTCAGACGCTTGGTAGCTTTGTGACCATGGGCAAGTCACTTAACCATTGTTTGCCTTTGTTTCCTCATCTGGAAAATGGAGATAATAATGGCACCCTCTTCCCTAGGTTGATCCTCAAATCAACTGAGGTAATATTTCTAAAAGGCTTTGCAAACGTTAAAGCACTGTATAAATGCTAGCTATGATTATTATTACTAAAAGGAGGGGAGAGGAATAAGCATTTGTTAAGTTGTGCCAGGCATTGTGCAAAGCATAGTAGTTATTATTAATTTTATTATTTCCTTTGTGTTTTCTTCCAAACTAAAGTATTTTTAAAAGCAAAAATCTGTGCACACATACCACGCACAAAAAACACAGAGTCATTCTTGTACTGCACTTGTTCGAACAGTTGAGTCGGTAGACAATAGTCTTAACTCTACCTTGCTATTTCATCAGTTTTAAGCAGTGAATAAGAGTACTGGAATCCTTTCTGTAACCATCTTTTGTAGCCTCTGAGATAGAATTTGCTCAGAAACCATAGCTTAGAAACAGCTGTAATTTAAAAACAACAAATTTACTCTGCTTTCAAGGCACCAAAGGAAAAGAATTTAAGACCTTTTTGAAGCACTTTTTTTGGCATTATAAATGATAAATGGCTGAGATTCTTGTGAATGTTTACTAGTTTATAAAGTTAGAAAAAGGAATCTACTTGAAATGGTTCATTTGATTTTAAAAAGGCCTATGAATGAAAAGGAAGTAAGAATCCATAAAATTACTCTTAAGTCATTACTTATGAATTATATAGTTACCATTCTAAAATAATTTTATACTATTATTAAGAAATTTGTAGCTTTTATGGATTTCATGTTGTAGGGATTTAGTAAATGTTTGTTGAGTTGAATTGAAAGTTCTGGAAAATGTTTATTCCCATCAAGGGAGCTCCTCAGGAAACAGCCGTAATGAAGATATAACACCAGCCAAGCTCACCACTGTATGCCATCAAAGAATGAACAGTGCAGTGACATTAAATGTCGCCAGTCATCAGCAACTATCTCCTCATCAAACAGGTTAGAGCCTCCATTCTGTCATATCTACTAACACCCAGCAAAATATTTCTCTGTAGTTTGGTGGAACCTCGGTGAATTTGCAATCACAGGAGCTGAACTTCAATCCAGTTCTCCTTACTATCTGACCCTAGGTCAGTCACATAACTTTTCTGGGCTTGTTTCTTTATCTGTTTAAAAAAAAAAAAAAAAAAAAAAAAGCTTCTTCTAGCTCTAGACCTTATGGCGTTGCTGTTATCCTTTGGGGGAAAAAATGGAAGCCATCTAGCACTCTTATTTTTTATAAATTCCATTTTCTAGGACAGAAACAACTTTTTGCCCATTCTTGTCCATTGCTATGATAGACAACATCTTGTTGACCTATTCAAAATAAAAAGTAAAATTGTGGAGTTTTCTGACACTTTTTCATTTAATGCCATCATTCTTTCAGAAGATTATCTGTTATTGTTTCTGCCATTCTGTTGTGTAACGAACGTAGCTGAGATCTGTGGCAGGGCACATCCACATATCTTGCCCAGCAGGTGTGCAGTACTTTTAGAAAGGCAAATTGTTTTTGAGCAAAGGAAAAGGGAAAACGAATGAATATTGTTTGTAGTTTGTCAGTCTTATTTATGCAATGTTGAAACCTTCATTAAAATGTTAGGCGCAATTAGAGTCTCTAGCATAAATCTGACTGTGTAGGGAAAACTAATTAGATGTTTAGGTGATCATTCTTGTATTTATCTTGTTTGCTGCAATATTGTGATTACATAGTAATTTACATATTTTCCTAAGAAAACACACCAAATTATTCATTACAATTGATATGGAAATAATTGGAGTAAAAATAAAATTCCAAAGTAACATGTGGTGTTCCGATAATAGAACTTGGAAAATAACTTTAAAAATTTTTTTTTTAATTTTTATTATTCAATACTACCTTTGATACTAGGTCACCAGAATTGTTTAACTTTATAACCAGTATTCCCATTATATCTTCCTTTAAGTTTTGCCAGTGATTTTGGCAGCATGGTGTAGTTGATAGAGAGCTACCCTCAGAGCCAGGAAGACCTGAATTCAAGATGTGCCCCTTAATCATACTCTCTTTGTGACCCACGTCCTTACCCTCTCAGTGCCTAGTGCCCTAGGCCATTCTCAGAATCGCAGAAAAAGTGCCAACCTGCATTGATAGAAAAACTCCCTATACCAGTGATCCCACAGTGAGCCTCCTGATTCCTGTCCCTATCCTTTGATTTTCCAGTTTATAGTAGCCATTTTAGATACGAGCTTTGTGAGATATATTTTTGTATGTCAGCCAAGAAGTATCTTTTGAGCACCTTCAAGGTGCCCAGAATCATACAAAGAGGCATTGAAATAGGGAAGGTCCCCCTTCCCTTTGAAAAATGCTTTTTCCAATCAATCTCTGTGTCAGAGATAGACAGGAGCCGAGCCTGGGCAGCCTTTCCCTTGTGCTGTCTCAGCTGCATTCTCAGATTCTCAGTTAGTCCCGTCTTCTCGTGGTTCATGTCAGCTGTTGAAATGTCCATACTGTACTGATCTCTCCCAATTATAAGAAGAGGCACAAAGCCATGGAGAATGCGCCAGCCTGCGGAGAGGCCACCTCTACCTGTCTTTGCTGTCGTTTTCAATATTTCATTACCTTAGCCAAAGAAAGGGGGAGTTTGTTTGCTAAGTGACCACAACTGTCCATTTACCTCTACTTAACTTAAGTTTCTTCATCTGTAAAATTTATCCTACTTACCCCACACAGAGTTGTGGTTCAGGGAGCCCCTCATTAGCCTGAGAGCCCTACAGAACTAGAAAGATAAGGAATGAGAAGACCTGAGGTTTCCCTCATATAAAGAACCAGGCACACTCATTTTGCAAGGGTGGCACCTTCTCTGCCGCTTAGCATCTTGGAGAATGACCCAGAGTCCTCCCTGAGAGGTGGACAACTTGGCTGGAGTCACACAGACAGACCCTGTGTGTGTCAGAGGTGGCAGATGAGCATTAGGTGGTGGGACATATGGGTTGGGGAGCTCAGGGGTTTAAAAGTGATGAGGTGGTGCTGTAACTAATACCTTGGCATTAGAGCCCAAGTCTTCTGATTCCAAATGGGGGTGTTCTTTCTACTACAATCCTTCAGTGTAATGCAGGTGATAATTGTTTTAGATGTCTACACGTCTTGATCACTTTTTCTTCTCTTCACTGAACAAGAATAATGAAGTAATCACTATCACTGTGGTCATTGACCTGTTGGTTAACTATCTGGCACCATTTGAGATGGCTGACAATGTTGTTGCACTTTTTTTTTCCAGTTGAGGATGCGATAAACTATGGTCACTTCAGTTCATCAGTAGTTCAGTCATACAGGGTATTAGCCTCAGACCCCTTGCCTAAAGTAACTTTTTATTGAGCAGTCCACTAATTATTGTCTTCATTTATCTTCCCTCCTGTCAGATGAGTGGGTATTTCCTGAAAATTACAGAGATCATTTTCCTTTGGACTCCAGCAAACAATCCATAACCGTGGAAGATGATTCCTGCAATAATTCACACCAGTTGCCAGAAAACAGCAAAAAAAATGGAAATAGCAGTCAAAGAGAGGAAACCCGAAGTATTCCAAATGAGATTTTTACATTTTCCTCAAAGCCGAGGTCCTTGCCTCACGGAAGGTGTCAGACTGTGTGTGCAGAAGGGGGCTTTCTGACGGATATGAAGGAGGACGACAGTGGGAAGAGGAGAGGAGCCCAGTTGGAAGATGATTTTTGTGGATGCGACAGCAGTGAAGAGGTACACAGCTTTGTGAATAAATTAGAAGTTCCTTTAGCTTAGCCCCCAGATCAGTGGGATGAGGGGAAAACTTGCCTGCTATTTATAAAAATATAGCTGATTGGAATGTCCATCAATCGTTATGCCTTGTTGTTATGGTAACTGACTGTTGCTAATTTTTTATTAGCATTCACCATATTTAGTTTTGTTGTGGAAGTGATTTTTACATTTTAATTATCATCTCTCAGAATAAAAAATAAAATGCAGCTGATTTTTCTTCTAATAAGGCTGATCAAACCTTTCAAAAACATTTTTTTTTTCTCTAAGGGTGTTACATTGCAGCTGCTAAGTCTTCTGAGCTGTGAGAATTCCTTCCTCTCATGTCCTTGTTTCACCTTAAACCTGTATGGGCTCCTTATTTTCTATATGGTCCCAATGTCTCTGAGATAAACTGGTTCAAGTTTAGGTAATGGGTCATGGATCAGTATAGTGTGTTATCTATTTTAGAATTATTCAGAATACAAATTTTTAAATGTCAGTTATGTTCATGGAAAGATTTTTAAACTCATTAAAATCAAATGGATACATTTGAAAACATGGGGTTTTTTTTTTTAGAGCTTACTACCTTACAGTAATCTTTTTGTCCTATTTTAAAATGAATTTACCTTTTAAACTGCTTCATGTTACTTAATGATGGAGATTTTATTTTTCCTACAAAAATGAGTTAATAAAAATAACTATAGGCATTTCTCACTTTACGTAAGTGGACTGTTCCTCAGACCCCTATGTAAAGTGGTTTTTATGTAATGCTGATTTACCTGTGGACGTGAGAAAGGGAGGGATGGAAGGAGACAGGAAGGGGGCTGTTGGCCCATGGATGGAGGAGGCTGGCACATGGTTCTAAGACATAGGGGGACCAGGGACAGAGAAGCAAGAGCAGGAGGGGAAACGTGGGGGCCAGCCATGTGGAGGCTAGGGTGGAACTGAGGGGAAGAACGTGTCGGGGGCAGACATTTGGGAGACGGGCGAGGATGGGTGACACACAGGGCCTGGGGACAGTCGTGTGGTCCTCATTTGGGCAGGTAGGTGGAGCGGGGGCAGAGGTCTCCTCTCTTGGCTCGGGAGGTCTCAAGCCAAATCCCTGATGCAGCCCAGTGGTTCCTGCTTTCACTTGGAGGGGTGGGGGGTGGAAGGCTACAGAGCACCAAGCCAAAGGGCAGGAGTAGGTGCCGTTATTATCCCCATTTCACAGATGAGGAAGAGATCAAATGACTTTTCCAGGGTCACACAGCAACTAAATATCTAAGGCAGAATTGAAACTCAGGATTTCTGACTCCAAGTACAACACTATTCACTGAACTGATTTGTGAGATTGTATTTCTTTTATTTCAACATTCATTTTTATAAGGTTCTGAGTTTCATGTTTTTCTCCGTTTCCTCACCTTTCCCCCCCAGTACAGCGGGCAATCTGGTATAGGTGCACATGTACAATCAGTTCGAACATATTTCCACATGATTCATGTGAAGAAACAGAAAGAATCAGAACACAAGGGAAAAACCATGGGAGAGAAAAAACAAAAAAAGTGAAAATAGTCTGCTTCGGTCCGCGTCCGTACTCCGTGGTTCTTCTCTGGACGTGGACAGCGTTTTCCGTCACGAGTCTCTTGGAAGTGTCGTGGATCGTTGTATTGCTGGGAAGAGCCAAGCCTGTCATAGTTGATCCTTGCACAGTGTTACTGTTACTGTGTACAATGTTCTCCTGGTTCTGCTCACTTCACTCGGCATCATTTCCTATAAATCTTTCCAGGTTTTTCTGAAGTCCGCCTGCTCATCATTTCTTGTAGCACAGCAGTACTCTGTTACATTCGTATACCACAACTTGTTCCGCCGTTCCCCAATTGATGGCCATCCCCTCTGTTTTCAATTTTTGGCAACCACAAAGAGAGCTGCTATCAATATTTTTGTACACGTGGGTCCTTTTCCCATTTTAATGATCTCTTTGGGATACAGCCCTGAAAGTGCTATTGCTAGGCCATAGGGTATGAACAGTTTGGTTATCTTTGGGCATAGTTCATCTTCACAACTCCACCAACAATGCATTGGTGTTCCAATTTTCCCACATCTTTCCTTTTTCTTTCTTTCTTTCTTTCTTTCTTTCTTTCTTTTTTTTTTTTTGATTAGGCAACGGGGTTAAGTGACTTGCCCAGGGTCACACAGCTAGTCAGTGTTACGTGTCTGAGGCCGAATTTGAACTCAGGTCCTCCTGAATCCAGGGCCAGTGCTCTATCCACTGCACCACCTAGCTGCCTCCCCCATCTTTTCTAACATTTATTTTCCTTTACTGTCATATTAGCCAATCTGATACATATACTGTAGTACCTCAGAGTTGTTTTAATTTGCATTTCTCTAATCAATAGTGTTTTGGAGCATTTTTTCATATGACTATAGATAGCTCTGATTTCTTCATCTGAAAACTTCCTGTTCATATCCTTTGACCATTTATCAGTTGGGGAATGACTTGCATTCCTATAAATTTGACTCAGTTCTCTATATTGAGAAATAAGGCCTTTATCAGAAACACTGGCTGTAAAAATTGTTTCCCAGCTTTCTGCTTTCCTTCTAGTCTTGGTTGCATTGGTTTTGTTTGTACAAAACCTTTTTGATTTAATGTAATCAGAATTATCCATTTTGTGTTTCATAATGTCCTCTATCTCTTGTTTGGTCATAAATTCTTCCCTTCTCCGTAGATCTGACAGGTAAACTGTTCCTTGTACTCCTAATTTGCTTTTGGTATCATCCTTTATGTCTTCATCATGTACCCGTTTTGAACTTATCTTGTTATACAGTGTAAGATGTTGGTCTGTGCCTAATTTCTGCCATACTCTTTTCCAGTTTTCCAAGCAGTTTTTGTCATATAGTGAGTTCTTATGCCAGAAGTCTTTGGGTTTATCAAACAGTAGATTATTACAGTCATTTACTACTGTGTCTTGTGTACCGAACCTATTCAGCTGATCCACCACCAAATAGTTTTGATGATTGCTGCTTTGTGATACAGTTTTAGATCTGATACAGCTAGGCTACCTTCCTTTGCGTTTTTTTTAATTAATTCCTTGATATTCTTGACCTTCTGTCCTTCCAGATGAATTTTATTAATTTTTTTCTAGCTCTATAAAATAATTTTTGGTAGTTTGATATGGCACTAAATAAGTAAATTAATTTAGGTAGAATTGTCATTTTTATTAAATTAGCTCAGCCTACCCATGAGCAATTGTTATTTTTCCAATTGTTTAGATCTGACTTTATTAGTGTGAAAAGTGTTTTGTAATTGTGTTCATATAGTTCCTGGATTTGTCTTGGCAGGTAGACTCCCAAGTATTTTATATTGTCTGCAGTTATTTTAAATGGAAAATTCTCTTTCTATCTCTTGCTGATGGGCTTTGGTGGTAAAATATAGAAGTGCTGATGATTTGTATGGGTTTATTTTATGTCTTGCAACTTTGCTAAAGTTGTTAATTATTTATTTCAAGTAGTTTTTTAGTTGGTTCTCTAAGATTCTCTGAGAATACCATCGTATCATCTGCTAAGAGTGATAGTTTTGTTTCCTTCTTGTCTATCCTAATTCCTTCAATTTCTTTTTCTTCTCTTATTGCTAAAGTCAACATTTCTAGTACAATATTTAGTAATGTATTAATGGGCTAAGTTGAGCTCTTCCTCCCTAATATCTCTGACAATTCTTGTGCATTTTAATTGTCACCTTAACCTTCATCTACTAGTAAGAGTGCCTCTGCCTTAGGAGTACTGCTGCCACAGTGGCATGCCTTGTGCATTATTCTTATGGCTTATGGCATTAAATCTGTTTTCCATTTGATTACTGACAGTTGGGTTTAAATGAATATTTAATGTTTAATCGTTCCTTCGTCTCAGCTTTGTAGGGGCCAGGACTGTGTCATTTTGTCTTTGCGTTCTCGGAAGCTGGCCCAGTGCCTGCCACATAGAAGGAACTTAATAAGTGCTTGTTGAGTGACCGTTTGGTCCAGATTGTTGTTGTTCAGGTGTTCTGTCCTGTCTGAATCTTCGTGATCCTGTATGAAGTTTTCTTGGCAAGAATACTGGAGAGGTTTGCCATTTCCTTCTCCGGTGGACTCGCCCAGCGCCACATAGCTAGTGAATGTCTGAGGCTGGATTTGAACTTCCATCTTCCTGACTCCACACCCAGCATTTTATCCACTGAGCCATCTAGCTGCTTCTTGGTCCCAATTATTCATCTATAAAAACACTGGTATTTTGTATGTCTTGAAATGTAGCTTGCCCCACAAAGCAAAGTGGTTATTTCTAGTTAGCTCTCTAATTAGATCTATGTAAAACCCATTTTAGAGAACTAAAACCCAAAATATCTACTATGGGGCCCTTTTTTAGATTAGCCTTCGAGTCACACAATTGCCGAATCTTCCTTTCATTTGAGCCGTGTGAGATCATCTTTATAAAGTGCCTGGCGCAGAAGAGGCGCCATCTAAATGCATGTCCCCTCCCCAGCCCCGTGTGCCAGCCGCATTCCAGCCAGAGTGGCCGCCTCTGGTCCCCATGCATGACGTTCCGTCTCGTCTCTGTGTCTCTGCTTAGCCGTGCTCCTGCCTGAAGTATTTTCCTTTTCCCCTTCAGCGCTTAAGCCGGGTGCCGAGTGGGACGAGGGTAGGTTCTGATGCCCCGTGTTGGTGACTTTACGTATATTTTGCATGTACTTTTCTGCACTTATTCCTTAGCCCCTGTAGAGTATGAGCACCTTGAAAGTGGGGATTCTTCACATTTATCTCTGCATCCCCTGAGCTTAGCACAGTGCCTGGCACATCATAGGCACTTAATAAATGCTTGTCAAATAAACGCGTGCATGGATGCAAAAAAAAAAAAAGACTGTATTACTGTATTCAGTGCTTACTCTGCCAAGCACTGAAGGTGCAGACACACACTGTCAGGAAAGCCCTTGCCCTCAAGAGACTGACATTCGAATAGTGCAAGACAAAGCA